TGCTTGGAATATAGCTGTATGCTGGGATCTTTTAAATAATTTTTAGTAAAATATGTGTTCAAGCTGCCACTTTGGGAGGAAAAAATGGCTTTTGTACTTAAATCAATTTCTTTGTGAATACTGTTCAATAACTATAATCTACCTGATATTTACAATGCATCTTTCCTTCATGTTTAGGTACACCAGAAAGCCTGGCAGAAAAAGAGCGACAGCTCTCTACCATGATCACCCAGCTGATCAGTTTACGGGAGCAGCTCCTGGCTGCCCATGATGAACAGAAAAAGCTGGCAGCCTCACAAATTGAAAAACAACGGCAGCAAATGGACCTTGCTCGCCAACAGCAAGAACAGGTGAGGCTTTGAGAAACCGGCAAAAATGTTTCATGCAGAACATTAGAAGGCTCATAATAAGCATTGTTCCGCTTGGTGTTTCCTTTCCCTTCCATTATTAAAAGAGTTTAAATTCCCTCATTATAGAAAAAGTATTATAAATTGCTTTTTCTTTTTCATATAGGAACCAGAGTAAAAATAGGCATGGAATTTCAATGCATTTATTTTCTAGCTCTAATTAAAGCCTTATTTCTTGCTACTTATGAGATGCAGTGTAGTAAGTCCCCCAGTAAAGCAGACTGTGAAACAACTATCATTGTTTACCTCTTTTATTCCCTCTATGACAACAAAACAGAGAAAAATGGGTACAGAGCTGGCACCCCAAAATATCTTCATAGAAAAGAAAGTAAGGAATATTTGTAAGAGACCAAATTGTCCTAAAGAGCTGTCCTTGTCTGCTGTAAAAATCTAACAATGATCCCATATACTAGTCCCCCAGGCATTAGATCAGACAGATCCAAATTAATGTGTGGTTTTTAGGAATCTGACATTATTACTAGAATTATCTTTTCAGTTAAATGTATTTTATAGGGTATATAGAGCAATATATGCTCTGTTGATTTTAATGAGTTGTGACGTCTGGTATTTTATGTGCTTGAATATTTGCCCACATGTAGGAATATGGACTCATCCCCTAATGGAAAATAACATAAAGGAACACTGTAAAAAATCAGAAGTTAGAATGTCATTTAGCCATCCAGAGATGACACAGTAATTAACTATTGACACTTGTGAATAAGCTAGCACAAATTAATCTTGACACATTTGCAGACGAGTGATATCTTACAGTGAACACTTTGTAATTATATTTCAAAATGAAAATTAAATGACACTTAAAACTAGGTTGTCATGCTCAATGAAGCGAGCATGTAGCTCAACCGATTGGCAAATAAAATTCAGAATTTGAGCCACATGGTGCTTATGTACCATCCTTTACTGTGTTGAGCCTATACATCTAGACTGCGCTATGGTAATGCACTCTGGTGTTTTGGATGCATTTTTCTATCTTAGCTCTATACTGTTTAGGAGAAGCCATCAATATTAGATGAAGAGAGGTAGTTTGTTTCCATCAGGAAATTAATATTCAAACACCACTATACTGTACTTAGATCTGTAACAAGATGCACACCAGTCCATGCTCACAACAAAGCCGGCAGCACTACCCTGCATACTTACAATGCAAGGGAGTGTGTAGGTCACCAGCAATTCCAAATAATTCCAAACACTGGATCCACTACCTAGGACAAATGTGTAATAGTCCCAAAAAATAATTGCATTATGATTTTATTTTGAACCTCATTTCTATCTGAAACTACCACACAGTGCATTCTTTCGGAATCAAATGATTAGTATCTTTTCGGCATTTGCCTGAGCTGAGATTTGAGTTTGCAGCATGGTACAGACCAAATTCTCTAAAGTCCACTTGTGAACATGCTTCACTGTAGGGTGAAATGGCATGATGAATGAATGGCATCATTCATAAAACAGCATAATTTAAGTGTTCTACACGTTTGTGAATAGTCCCTGCAGCAGGGTGCCCACTGCAGTTTCTCCTCTAAGCACAAAAACGGCACTGAACATAGATTGTATCTGTGACTATACTGTCTAATCACACAGTATCCCCCTCTCCTCCAGACTTTAGGAGCCCACTTGAGCTAATTGCTTAACTAGCAGGATAGGGTGTAATTCTTTAGTCCTTACTCACTTAACTACCATTGATTGAACTGGAAGAAGACTGCAGGACCATGCTCATAAAGAGACTTTAATCCCATTTGTGGGCAACAGTTTAGTCCCTACCACTGGGCTTGATTCTTTTCTGTTCTGCCATTTGTCATGTCTCCCAGGTCCAGTGACTGGTAGACACTGATCAGGTATTTGAAGACATAAGTGAGACTTACGTAGTGCGTGGGTCTTTTGCTGGTCTCTGTGCAAAGGTGAATTTCTTCTGGAGCCATGAAACTAAAACACTGAGTGTAAAGGTGGGGGGAAAAATCTCAGAACTGATCATTTGGGGCTATGTTGTTGTCTTCTGCTAGGAGGTGTAAAAAGCTATCACACAGTTTTGTTCCGCTTTTGATGCAGTTTATCTGAATTATTTCCACTAACGATCGAGAAAAATGCAGTGGTATATCTCAAAATCATCCTTGCTGAATTTATTGTATTTTTAGTAAAAATTGTATCTGAACTGCTTTCTTATTTTTATCGTTTTTGTCTTTCCAAGTTTAATCATAAGCATTTACTGTATGTTAATTTAAAATCATATAATATGCAAGAGAGAAAAAGAGAAAAGTGTTTTTGCCAGGGGACAGGGAACAAGGTATTCCTGAGTTTATCCTTTACCTCTGATGTTGACTTTCACTGTGATAACTTGCCAGAGGTTTGACTGTCCCCTACCCAGACAAATATTTATAGGAAGGGAAATGATACTTGAGAAATAAGTGAGTATTTTGTTACTGAATATAGCGTCATATCCTCAGCAGTGGGAGGATACAGTCCTAGCAGATGGGCAAAGCATCAGAATTGCTAGACTGGGGCTCCCTAAGAAACAGTCCCTGACCAGAACTACTGAACAGTGTGGAAGAAACAGGCTTCACTCTATTGTTTGGTTCCGAAGTTGTCAGAGACCTTTATTATACAAGCAGCTGCAGCGGAGAGTACCGAACAGACAGAGCTTTCTCTTATCAGTCTCGCATGCCCCCCCCAACCCCCCTGCCAACAGACAATTGAAGCAAGCTTTTTATGTTTCAATTCAGGTCACATGACGCAAGATATAACGAGTCAAAGAAAAAATGGTTTGAACTAGAAAGTTGCAAGAGGGCATAGACTGTGGTTTGACCTATTGACCTCATAGGTCTACTCAGCTCAACAAGGGAAAAGGGTGGGAGAAAGAGCAGATTGCAAAATAGGTGGGGAAAAAGCAATCATTAGCAAATAGTGCACTAACTCAAAGAAGTCAGCAGAAATTAAGGCCTGGGGTTTTTTTCTTCCACAACAGTTGTCCCTCTATAGCACCAGTTCCAGCAGGTCACCTAGGTCCCATTGCCTTCCCCATTACAACTATGTGGGGAAGTTAATGGTACCTGCTGCACTGATTTCTGCACAAAATTATGAATTTGAAAGGAGCAGGCCCTCTCCCCTTGCACCATGATGCTGATTCCAGGTGATTTGTAGGACACGAGGCTATATCTGTTTAGGGCCATGGACAGAAATTACACATAAACCAATATAAGTGATGGGAAACTGGTTCAGTTCTGTAACACAACAGAAGTTCAGTTCACACAAATTACTTTCAAAATGGATGAACTGATTTAAGATAAACCTGGATGGATGTAGTATCAGACTTAATTGATTTAGGTTAAATCGGTTTATTGAACTTCTGTCCCAGATCCCCTCCATATTCAAGTTAACTCACAGTGCCCCAGCATCCCAGGATGCTTTGCAACTCCCCTGCAAACCTGCCTCCCCTGCCTCCTTCTAGGGTGGGTGGGCTACATTGGCCAAAGCTGTCTGCTCCAGCCAAGCCGGGAGCTGTGTTCTAGCCCTTTGGCTTCTGGCCTGGGCCACTGCAGGCATGTTGACTGCAGTTCTGGAATCAGAAGCGAATGTGTGTTCACTGGCTTATCGGTTCAAGCTATGCAGCTTAGACTAACTTGCAAAGATTGAATTGATTCATCCTTGGTCTTTTTGACTGTCTGTACTTAGTTTAGGAAACCTTCCTCCAATCTGCACATATGCCTCAGTGCTCCCTGTCTCATTGAGTAGACATGCTTTCCTTCCACCTATGCAAGGGAAATGGAGCAGCAGACACTTAACCTCTCATTGTCACTTTCTGCATACATAAAATCATATTTATGCTTGTCAGAGAGATGATTTGAGTCTTGATTTCTTAGGATCAAGTTCTGCCACCTCTATATACTGTGTGGCACCTTACTCCTCTCTCCTCAAGAGATCATTCAAGGTGAATAAACTTGGCAGAAGTTTGCCATTAATGATTTTGCTGTATTTTTAAGCAAAATATAAAAGCTACAAAAAGTCTCATTCAGCAAAGCATGGAAACATATGCTTAGTTTGAAGCACCTGAATATTCCTTTCCCTGTTCAGGAGAGCTCTTAACATCAAGCATATTCTATGGTAGCTAACAGTAATCACCGTAGTCAAAATTAAGGACATGTTTACTTTGTTGAATACTGATAAAAGTATGAAGATGCATAAGTTTAAGCATCTGTTTTGCTGTGGTGAGGGGTTTAAATGGTTAATGTGTAATTTTAACTGGAATACCACATTGTAATTTTGCATTTAAATTTGAAATTGTTTGAGCACCTACATGGGTACATCTAAAACAAAATATTCACTGTTCTTCCAATTTTTTTACAATTGACATTCAATAGAAAAATCTTTAAAACATTAGAATTAGGATAACTAATAAGAAGTTGTTTTCACTCAGTACTATTGAAGCTTCACTATTACTGTTTTAATTTAATGGAAAATTTATCTCTAATAGATTGCAAGACAACAACAGCAACTTCTGCAACAGCAGCACAAAATCAATCTACTGCAGCAGCAAATTCAGGTCAGTGTGTTTTATTGCTCTCTTCTGATTATACTTAAATTCCATTTACAGAAAAGGAATAATCTAAAATAAAATAGCCACATGCTTCCCTCAAAAACCCAGTAAAGATGTTCTTCAGAGCGGAGTCTCTGTGTCTTTGAAAATAATTAAAAATATATTTTTGGTGGAAACTTCTTTTGGTTAACAAGCCAATTTTTTTTTAAAGTTATTATTTTGTTTCCTTAAATTATACCATTTATTCCTTAAATTTTGCTCCAGAATCTACAATTATTTTCATTTATACACCATGAAGACAGCAGCAGATATTCAATTATTGTTTGTAGATCTGTTTATTGTACAGAGAAAATCAGTTTGATAAGATAAAGATGATTATGAAAAACACTCTATAGAAAATGGCTGCAATTGTCCTAACCAAAGCCACCTGTGACAGAGCAGGAAAATAGCCTTTCCCCAAAACCTATTGAGACAGCACTAGGTACCCAGGAACTGATACCCACTCTAATATTCAAGGGACTGCTGGTGTACCATGACCTACAGACAGGTATGTACCTGTTGAAATACTTTGAAAGCAACCTCATAGCAACCTCATTCAACTGTAAATCATGGCTTGATTTTATGTAATCAGACCCTCTCTCTAACATACATGCAGGGGGACAACCAACTGACAGCTTTCAGGTACTGTTGACTTGCGGGCCTGCTGACCCTACCGCCTTTTTTCCTTGCATATTCTACTTTGATGCCTTCCAGTTAACCTGGTCTTCAGTTTAAATTGTCACAGTCACAGTTGATAGGTTGCTGTGAGGCCAGTTACTGGTGGCATCACTGGTGCAAGTGGACCAGTACAAATTGCTTGCCTTTGTCCTTGCTTTCCAGCTACACACCATGTTTTAGTCAGCTGAAGGTGAAACTATTCCTTTCTTCTTCCTGTTCCTTTATAAATATACAGTACCATAGTTATTTTGTTTGGACTTTAATTGATCTAATTAACGTTTATTAATTGCTTTGACTCCTGGGGGTTGGAAGACAAAGAATTGTGAAATATTATCATCATTGTTGTTGTTTATTGGTGGAATGTAGTTTTGAAAAGGCTGTGTCATTATATTGGTTGGGAATTAGAGCTGGAAATAAAATAGTTAACATAGTTAAGGGAAATAAATATTACGTCTTTTGCAGCCCTGACTTTCAACACAGTTAGCATCAGTTTAAGATTATTATTCAGTTTATATTACACACAACATCTTTTTCAGTTGGCATAAAAGCTAAGAGGATAGAATAACTTCAGATATGAAATACAAGTAAATATATTTCAGAAAATCTCATTTCAGGAGAAATGGACTTTACCATTTCTAAAATGAACAGGCTTTAATATTTCACAAAGGACTAACGCAAAGATAGCCTTTAGGGGTGTGCAAAGCAGGCCGTATTTGATTCAGATTCAGATTTGGCTCGATTTTGGAGACAGTGATTTGATTAGCTGATTTGGATCACTGCCCCGATTCGATTTGACCAAATCCAAATATGAAGATTCGATGCTGATTCGGAGAATCAGCGATTCGGCCATAGGCACAGCTTTAAATGTTTTTTTCTACATACCTCGAGATGCCAGGCGCAGCTTGTGAATGCTGAGATGGTGGGGCGGATGGAGTGTCCCAGAGGAGCGCGGGGGTTCCCGCATGCTCAGCAGTGGACTCAGAAGTGGATTGGAACTACTTCCAGTTCACTTCCGGGTCTGCCGCTGAGTGAGCTGGGGACCCACCCCCCAATGCTCCTATGGGACACTCCATCCGCCCCACTATTTCAGTGTTCATGAGCCGCCTGATACCTTGAGGTATGTAGAAAAAATATTTAAAGTTGTGTCTATGTTCAAATCATCAAATCTCTCCGAATTAATTTGGGAGGTTCCAATTCAATTCAGGGAGATTAAACAGTCTCCTGATTTGATTTGGATTTGGAGATTCAGCTGCTGGATTGGGCTGAATCTCTGCTGAATTGAATCAGCAACTGAAGCTTCGCACAGCCCTAATAGCCTCTGTAACAACAATTTCTTCCTATTTCATCATGTGCATTTTCACAGATTTTAAATTTTTGAATGCATACCAAAAAAATTCTTTTAACTAAAAATATATGTTGACACATGTAGACTTCCAAGTTATGATGCTGTAGTCCTCTGAAGCATTTGAGGTGAAGTCCTAACTTTCTGGCAAAAAAGCTCAGAATCACTAGAATTTAGGGCTGTCCTGGTCATTTCCCTCCATGACCTAGCATGTTCTCCTTGGCTGCCCTTTGATTATCTAATTACAATTATTCACAAAAGATTTCTTTTAAAATGTTACTTTAGATGGGAAGTGGAACACACAAAACTCACGTAGTGGTGCAAGTCAGGTTTTCTGAACATGGCAGAACATTGGCAAGTCTCAGTGAAAATACTCCTACTTCATATTACTGGCCCTGGGAGGTTTATGATTTCAACTAGCTCTTTTTCCAAGGTTTTCTCTTGGTTTTAATAATTGGCTTCTAGCACACTAACAGAATGGCACGATTGTTGGACCACCAGTCAGAAAAAGTCCATAGACGTCCTCATGAGCTTCCAGATGGTCATGGTAGAGTAAGAAATATATTTTGGTAATAGGAGGGGGTTTAGACCTTACTTGATGGTGCTGGCACCTTGCCAGAGCAATGGTTTATGGATACACTACTTTGGAATATGTTCAGAACTAGGTTTCCTTTTGTATTTGGGGAACTTACAGCAAAAAAAGTCAAAGTAACTTTCATAAGTTTCCTAAAGGGCTATTGTAAACCTTTTTTATGGTTAGAAAATGTGAAAGATCTTTTTTTAAAAGAAGGAATCATTAATATGCTATCAAGTGTATGGTCAAGTGAAAAAGAATGTTACTTGAGTACCAGGTTGCTATTTTCTTTATGGAGATAAAATCCACAGATATTTCTGAGATTCATTGTGGAATCTTTCTGATTTGGTTGCAACATTACAAAGAGACGGTGATGCTTATGTCATCACACCATACTTTCCAGTAGCTATTGGTGTTCCCAATTTCACTTATTGCACTGGGATTAATTCTGATGCTGACTGCATTCTTGATTTTTAAGACACAGTTCTAAGGTTTTTCTGTGGCAATAAAATAATTAGGATCTCTGCCTTGATAGTGTTTGCTGTAACCTAGATACATGATGTCACGACCACACAACAGAACTCACATGACTTATGTTACCCCTCTCAGTGCCATAATTTCTGCTGTCTTCCACTGGGACTGAGAGGTTTTTCCCTTCTGTCTACCTGCTTCCTGTGCCCCTTTCTATGTGAAGATGTTAAGAAAGGTTTTAGTTGGGGCACGTGACTATTCCTCTTCCTTCAGTGTGTGCTGACTTGTTTCTCCCCTGCCCTTTCCCAGAATAAGGAAAAGCTTCATTAGGTTTGGAGGCTCAGATAGTGTAGGATGTTCCCAGACTATGGTTTTGTATCATTTGAGGTCTATTGAGTGAAAAATATGTTGTTGGAGTGATTCTCATTCACATGTACAGGGTAAATCTAATCAATGCATTTTAGCAGGAGAGAAATTTTCCTTCCACATACATTGATCAGGCTGGTAGCGGACTTCTCATATTCCCCTCAAGCATCTTGCAAGGATCATCTTGTCAGTTATTAGGGCTGTTGGGCAGGTGCCATGACAAATATGCATGTAGTCTCACAGGAAGAATGTGAGTTGTTAGGATTATTCAGGAGGACTTCTGTTTTAACTGGTGTTTACCCTACTTAGTCTACTATGGCCATGAGCCAAATGTTTCTTCTTTCTTTGTTCTTGCTAATTTTATTGCCTGTTTGTTAGCCAGGATTTCCCTGCAAGAGTAGTTAGTTGCCTTTATCTCCTCCTCTATCTTGTCATGGGTTTGGGAATGAGGGAGAGCTTCCTTGCTGTTGAATGGGTTTCTAGTAGTGTAACTGGGAGAGAGAGGAAGCAACATTTCTGCAACCTGAAACCCCCTGAGGAAAGTTGGTGAAGTATGAGTGAATCAAGGATAGGCTGAAAGAGGTGATCCTTTGTGGATCCTCTGGCATTCCCTTCTGTCAGGATATATGAAGTGCGTTGTAGCAGAGACTGCAGTCTAGTGACAGAAGTCGCCTCCATGAAGCAGCACCACAATGCCCCTCTGACTTGAAGGGAAAACAATTTCACATTAAAATGTGCCTGTATCTGCCCAAATGAGTTATTTGGGCTGCACAGAGTTCTAACCTGTGCACATTTGTCAGTTTAAGAAGCCTCTTTTACAACCCTTTCGTGCCAAGGATGACTATTTATGATGAAAAATGGTGAGAGTTCTTATCTTTGCTCTGTATCCAGGGAAAAACAATAATAATATTGCCCTCTTTAAAAGAGATGATAAAATGTGACTAGCACAGGTGTCAGTTCCATCTGGACATGCGCCTATTCATGGCACAGCTACTTGGAAATAAGTACAGTACATTCTCTCCTCCAGTATTCAGGGGTAAGGAATTGCTGATGCAAAGTTGTCATCATGTGAGACACCCTGTATGTTTTGCTAATCTTCTGAGTTGCACAGCATAGTTTTTAAAACAATTATTTTAATATTATAATGAATGTGGTTCATTTAACCCATGGAACATTTTGAAATAATTTGGAGGAGGCTTTGCATAGCAGGAAAAAGTGGAAAGACTCCTTTTAAAACAATCACCCATTCTCCTTTTATATATCCATTACTTCAAACTGCTTATTTCCTTTAGGCTTTTTAAAGATCATTTGTCCATTCCTACCTCATTACTGTGTGCTGTGCAAGTTTATCAATGGTGTGCCAACAGCAAATACTTCGTGTATTTCGTGTATTTTGTGTAAAACCAAGTCATTACAGGAGTGATGAGCTCATTTAATTTTCTTCACAATTCATGATTTCTGCATATGTGCTTTGAGATCTTCAGAAGAAAGTCTGTATCTAATGTGTTATGAAATTCCA